ACAGCCAACCGGGGGGGAACCGGCCCGGTCGAACGGCCGGTAGGACCGGTCCGGTTCCGGTTGGGGGAGGACCCCCCAGTCATACCGGGTTTTCAGCACTGTCAGAGAAGGGAAAAAAATGAAATTGTTCTGACACAAGCAAAATGTAACAATTCAGTATCAAAAAAATTCAAAACTAGATTCAAATTAGTTTTAAGTTTCAAGTTTCAGCTGATCAAGTTAATTATACGGAACACTGGAAAGTGACCAGTGGTGGCGAACCAAACTGGCAATTAAGTGTAACAAGTACTAATAACGCAACAAGTCCACAATCCCGGTGGTTCAATTAAAAAAAAAAAAAAGTGTAATAACTTTACTAATAACTTAATATAAGTACTAATAGTCTAATAGGCTAATAGCAAGTATTAAACACCCCCCCCCCCAAAAAAAAGGACTAACCAACCAAAAGGGGCGATACAAAAAAGTTAAAAAAACTACAAATTGGCAAATTGCTAATGGCCATCTTCACACGCTAAACTTGGAGTACCTTCCCGTCTTGAACGAACTTGATAAAGTTAAAAAAAAAAAAAGAAAGGATGAAAAAAAAACTTCCGAGAAAAAAAGTTGAGGAAAAAAAAAGGTGGAGAGCTTCTTTTTGTTTAAGTTGAAAAAAAAGAGTTTGTACTACTCGTAAAGGGGGAAAAAAAAGTTTTTCAAAAAAGAAAAAAACTTGGTACCTAGGCTACCAGCCAAGCCGCCCGGATCACCTCATTTGCCCGGGCGGCCCGGCCGTGCAAGGACCAAAGAAAGTCCCAGCAAGAAAAAAAAAAAATCCAAAAAATCCTATGCTACCAGCCGGGCCGCCTGGATCACCTTGTTTTCCCAGGCGGTCCGGCCGTGCAAGGGCCAGAGAAGGTCCCAGCCCAAAAAAAAAAAAAAAACACTATGTTATGCAGAAAAATAAACTGAACAACTTTTGCCTCAGGGTCACATCGGAATTCTTGACCAAATTTTAATTTTAAATTAAAATAAAAAAAATAGATACATATGCAAGCAATATGAGTGTGAACCATATACAGAAAACCAAGTTGCGAAATCACACAGATGTCTGAGTAGGCGTGTACAAGCAGCGAGCACAATAGCACCGTAAATCCATTCAAAAAGAGAAATACAATGAAGTAATGAGCCAATGTTCAAGCCCCTAGGCCTGGCGCCCAGCGCCCCAGCCTACTCTACTCTACTAGCCTACCTACAGCTGTGTTCACGCAACAGGCTCACTTCGGCTCTCAAAGACCAATGTACATGATGTCAACACCATAGCCGACCTCTCTCCATGCACCAGGTACGTATCTCGTCACCCTCATCAGACCTTGAGAACCCACACTCGCCTCCTTCCCTGAAGACCACCAGATCGCCCACATTACCCCCTGGCGCCCAGCAGCCCGGCTATGGCCGCCTGTGCCCCACTGCCCTGCAGCGCCCCACTTCACCGCTATGCGCCCCGTCAACGCCCTTGGCCGCAGCGCCGCATCAAGCGGTAGCGCAGCAGCACTTCCGCATTGCCAGCACTGGCCAGAATGCCTGGCCTGGGCTTCCTCACTTCTTTTATGGAAGTGGCAGCCTCCTGGATGCCGCATGTCACCTGGCTGGAAGCTTCCAGTAGCTTCCGGTTGGGCCTCAGACCCTGCGCCCAGGCCCGAGACTACAGTTGAGGGCCTGGGCCCTTTTCAGTTGGGCACGGCCTGAGTCTCCGGACTTGGGCTGTTTGCTGCATCATGCAGGGCTCCCAGGCAGTGCGTCGGCAGTACTGCTTTTCCAAAGGCCAATGGCCTGCTTCCCAATGTGTCGGCCCTGGTTTGTGTGTATGTGCCCAGGCGCAACTGTCAAGGCCTGAGCCAACTGTACGACGCAGCTTAGTGAGGCTCACGCGTCTCCCCAACCAACTGGCGTGCTGCAAGAGCCTGAATACCCACATATGGAAATGTGAAAATTTGGCCTTTGACGAATATTCAGGCCCGCCTTCACTTAGGACGGGCACTCGGCTTGCTGGGGCCTTAGCCCAGAACATGTGATGTCTGATAGGGCCCCTTGAGGGCTCGTTCCTCACATTCCATCCCCCTTAGCTTCGAAAGTCCGCTGAGATGCTTCATGCTGGTGCCTTCCCCTTCAGTTTCTTCTCATAATCTGTCACGATCTGAGGAGCTGTCTTGACAAGTTCTTCCCTTGAAATCCATCGACCTTCCTTAGGATCACTATGATGCCTGAAATGTACTCTGTATTCCCTTGCAGGTTTAGGAGGTCTTCTCCTGCCAGGTGGCTTGGGAACAGGCGTGTCTCTGTGATCGAGGATGTCGTCGACATCCACATGGCCATCCATGGTTGGGGGGCAGCATAGATCTCCGCGATGGGAACTGTGCTGTCTCAGCGAAAGGTGCAAGCTTGGAGGCGTGAAAAACAGGGTATGCGCGTAGGTGACCAGGGATACGAATGACGTATGAGGGACCATCCAAATCATTCCCCACAATGTCTAAGACTTCCCAGGGAGTGAAATACTGAGGCATTAGTTTCCTAGAGATGCCAAACTCCTGTCCCAACTCACTAGCCGACCCAGACACGTCCCCCTACCTGAAATATGGACTGTCGGCGACGTTTGTTCTCAGAAGCAATCATAGCTTCCTGAGATTTCTTGATGTGTTCGACAGTCTGCTGCAACAATTTCTCATACTGGACACCAAATTCAATGGTTCCAGGAGTTGCGGCAGTTCGGTTTTCAGGCAGGAGGACGTCTAGAGCAGATCTAGGCTTCCATCCCAGATGGAGTTGATTAAGACTGACGTCGGTGCTGCTGTGTACAGCATTATTGTACAGACTGGCGATGAGAGGTAGTTTCTCATCCCAGTCATCCTGGCTGGGCTTGATATAATGCCTCAGCAGATGCTGCACCACTTGGTTCATCTGTTCACCCTGCCCATTGGCTTCGGGATGATTTCCAGAAGTCATCTGAAGCTGGCTTCCCATCTGTTCAGCGGCCTTCTTCCACATCTCACTGGTAAACCGGACATCTCTATCACTAACAATGGTCTTTGGCAGTCCAAAGTCACGCACCCAGTTGTCCATGAACAACTTAACGACGTGCTCTGTCCCGGCAGTCTCCAGCATGGCAATTACTCTAGTATATTTAGTAAACCTATCCACTATGACAAAGATGTGCCTCTTGCCATTCTTGCTGGTCACGAGAGTATCCATGAAGTCCATGGAGATACTCTGCCCTGGGCCAGCAGGGATGGGTAGAGGCTTGAGTAACCCAAGCGGAGCTTGAGTCCGCGGCTTATCCCGGGGACAGACCTGAGAGGTCTGTACGTACTTCTTTGCATCGTCCAGCATGTTAGGCCACCAAAATCGCTGTACTAAGTTAGCACAAGTCTTCTTGTAGCCGAAATGTCCCGTTGCGTCGTGGCACTCACCTAAAAATGAACTACGCAAAATCTCCCTAGATGGAACAACTAACCTTTTAAACCTTGCCTTTTCTAACCCATCCACCATCACAAACTCGTCAGAAGTGGCTTTGTCTTTGGCCTGCTGTTTGTTGATGATGTCCATCGTGAGGGGATCTTCCTTGTAGGTTTCCCCCAAGGATCGAGTCACGTCCTCAGATAAGCCAAACTCAGAAATCAGCGCACATAGGTAATTTTCCCTTCTAGACAACGCATCCACAACCTTGTTGTACTCTCCCTTTACATAGTCTAGTTTGAAGTCATACTGATCTATGAATGCAGTCCAGCGTTTGAGTGCATCTGAGAGAACTGGTTGGGTCTTGATCCACTTGAGGGTATGATGGTCAGTTCTCAAATAGAAGCACCTTCCTAACGGATAGTGCCTCCAGTGGACAAGTGCCTTGTAGAGAGCATAGAGTTCTCTCTCGTAGGTGGACTTTGCCAACTTCTTTGATGGCATCTTTTTGCTCATGTGCTCGACCGGTCTCAACTTTTTCCCTTCCTGCTGAGCCAGCACTGCGCCAATGCCGTACTGGCTTGCGTCAATGGTTACAACAAACGACCTTGGCGGATCGGGTACCATGAGAACCTCATGGTGCGTGAGAGCATGCTTCAAACGCTTGAATGCTGCCTCACACTCGTTGGTCCAGTCCCATGGCGTGTCAAGTCGAGTTAGATCATTCAAGAGAGAAGCAATCTTCCTATAATTATTTACGAAATTGGGGTAATAACCACACATGATATGACCTCAGTCACAGACTGGGGGCGTGGCCAGTCCCTAATGCTAGCCACCTTCGCATCTTTAGGCCTAATCCCATCCGCAGATACTTCATGACCCAAGTACAAGATTCGAGTGCGACCGAACTCGCATTTCTCTACGTTTATCTTATACTTGTGTCGCCGAAGGAGAGAGTACTTTGCCTACATGCTGAGCATGCTCCTCGAAAATCTTACTAAAGATAAGTATGTCGTCGAGGTACACGGCAACGAACTTATATAAGCAGTCATGGAAGATCCTATTAATGGCATGCTAGAATGTACTCGGCGCATTGCAAAGGCCAAAGGGCATCACCACAAACTCCTACAAACCGCACCTGGATTGGAATGCGGTTTTGTGTTGGTCCTCTGGTCTTATGGCAATCTGATGGTAGCCAGATTTTCAGTCTATCTTGGTATAGTACTTATGCAATCAGACTCGATTTATTCACATGTTTCATGCACGTGAACAGCAGAACAACAAACTGGCGACCTGCGCCCACACATTACTCAAAGATATCGCAACCAGATAAGAGTTATCTTGTAATTGGCTATGGCGGCTATGCGCCCAAACAACTCACTGTTCACACTCTGGATCACCCTGGATGTCCCACTCGTATCACTCTGAACACTCACCCAGTACACACACTTTGCACTCTAAACTCGGCTATGGCAGCTATGGTTGCCGCTACCTATCACTATGGCTACACTACTCCACTCTTGCCCACTTCGTCTTCGGGCCTCCTGCAGACCTCCTTGCACAAGACGCTGAAGCAGCGCTTCCGCATGGCTCCCAGACGGTACTTGCTTGACTGGACCGGACTGGGTGAACTGGGACTGCTGACTGTACGAGGTGGACTGCCACCACTTGACCACTTGCCTCTGCCTAACGTAGGCTGACTCCGAAAGGCCACTTCTAGAAACCTCTATCTTGGCCTTTCGGTACTGTAGCAGCTACGACTTTGAAAGACCTTGACCCTTCGGACAGTCTACAGCTACGACCTTTGGACTGCCTAGACTCCTACCCGACAGGTCTACAGTTCGAATCCCTTCTACCCTGTGACCTACGAAATCCTACCTACCACTGGCGGTCCTACAGGTCGCGGGTTCAACTCTACGGGTTGACACAGATACTGTACACAGGTACGGTGGGGAACTAGGGATCGAGCCCTGGGATCTGCATCAGCTACTTTCCCACCCTTCTCGAGGCGGAAATACGCCTGGACTCCCTCTACGTAGTCTTCTGCTCGCATCGTGCGATTATCCGCAAGGATACTGACTACAGGGTCTGCTAACCTTTGGACTTTTAACTGCAACTTCAGCTTTTGTAGCGCCTTCCTACTAATATAACTACGGGTGGCTCCACTATCCACCAAGGCGCCAACTCTACCTCTAAAAATCTCTGTATCTACCAATATAAGCTGCCCTTTATTCTCCTTTTTCATCTTGGCCCAGGCGGGCATCCTCTCCTTCAACTCTTCGGCCACGCCTGTGAGGGAGGTGTCTAGGGAGACCCTAACACAAGCAGTCTCTGGACAGCTATCTAGACACCGGCCTGCAACCTCTGCCATAGGCACATGTGGTGTGGGAGTCTCCTACTGGCTAGCGCTATTTTCCCCACATGGCCTTGTCGTAGGGGCAGTTGCTACCCCTACCGGCGGCTGCCTTTTGGCCCTTGAGCAGCCGTTCGGGTCTCTCGATACTTAGGACAGTATTTGATGATATGGCCCGGGTCACCACAAAAAATGCACTGGCCCCGGTCCAATCGTTGTTGCCATAGGCTCTGGTCCAGACCCAAAGTTTCCCAAGGCCTACCCTGTGGTAGCCCTAGGTGCCATCCTCCTACCTTGTAAGGAGACCTGTTCCTAGGACGGTTTTGCGGAGGACCTTGACCCCTTCCTCCCGCTTGGCGGTTTCCTCCTCTGCCGCCAACCCCCTGATCGCCCTGAAACCGGCTCCCTGAGGCCCGGCCCCCTTGGCCCTGGCCTCGTCCTCCTCCTTGCGGCCTCCCTCCAGCCGCGGAGCATCAACACAGGGTACCGAAGGAGAGAGAGAGGGAGGACAAAGAAGGAGGGACTGAGGAGAGAGAGAGAAGTGTGGAAGGAGGATATCGAAGAAGGAGACAGACATAGCCGGGGGTGCTAAAAAAAAAAAGAAACAGCAGAAGAAAGACAGTGAGGAAGAAGAAGGTGAAGGTGCCGGCAGCCATAGCCGAGGTGAAGGGTTGACCGAGGGTTGACCAGAGGGTTGACCAAGCGTTGACCAAGGGTTTGACTGGGCGTTGACCAAGGGGTTGACTGGGCGTTGACCAAGAGTTGTCCGCGTTGACTCAGCGTTGACCGGAGCTGTTGACCAAGATTTTGACCAAGCTGGAGTTGGTGATATCTCGCTGAGCCCTTAGCCTATCCCCTTACCCCGTGGATGTGCACACACCCTACGGTACTTGCTGAGTCTGAGTTTGTCTGTCTTTCCTTTCTGCATTGAGTCTCTTCTGTCCTAGGTGTTAGGACTCTGTGAATGAAGGATAGGGTTGGATGACGAAACCTTAGTCTGACTTTGTAGGGCTGAGGCTGGGACTGATCCAACTTTCCAGGGGGGGCATAACCCTCCCAAGGACCGGTGCTGACCGGCTGGAAACGGTTGGTAGGACTCAGTGGGCCTGAACGGCAGCTAAGGCTGACACACCAGCCAATCTTCAAGTATTGAGGGCCTGTTTGAACCACCCCCTTACCGGACCAAGTAAGGCTGATGATCTGTGTCTGACGACTCGACTGTCCCGGGGGACACGAACCCCTCCAAGGACCGGTACAGACCGGCGGGCTGCTCGGTGTGGCACAGTAGGCCGGAAAGGCTGAGTTGTGGGTTGCAAGCACAGGCAGAACCACGCTGATCACGTCGTCCTGACTGCACCGTTAAAGAATTCTTGCGGAGTTTGGGGGATCTCCTTAAATGCCTCCAGATCAGCTGTTGGTTCAGTAGTGACAGCCTTAGAGTAGTTTTGAGTAGTGACCTTAGAGAGTCAGTTAGTAGGTCAGTGTCCGGGTAGGTCTAAGTGGTGAGGAGTGGGACCTTTGTCGTGGACCTGACACCCCAATGGATGACTATCCGATGTATGGGTTGCTCGTTGGGTTCTCCCTTTGGGGGACCCTCTCGCGTCTCCTCTTTCCCCTGGGGTTCCGGTACACCTTTACGTGTAGAGTAGACACCCAGGTGGTGCCTCCACCAAGCCATATACGAAGGAGGAGGAGAAGATGGCTGCCATTCTGAGAGAGAGGAAGGAGAAGAAGGAGGCCAAGAAGAAGGCCTTGATGGAAGAGCAGGCGGCCAAGTTGAAGAAAATTGAGGAGGAGGCGGCCAGGGAGAAAGAGAGAATCAAGAAAGAAGAAGAGGAGAAGTTGAAAGAGGTGGAAGAGGAAGAGGAGGAAGATGAAACGCCACTGCAAAGGAAGAGGGGGCAGTACAGTGGCAGCACTTACACCCTTGCACCCTATCCAATAGGTCGTCGATGCGTGGTAGAGGCTCTGCATTCTTAACGGTGATGGCATTGAGGCCTCTATAATCAATGCACATCCTTAGTGTTCCCCCTTTCTTTGGAACAAATAAGACTGGTGAGCCAAAGGGCGAGGTGCTAGGTCGTATCCACCCCTTCTCTTTGAGCTCTTTCAGTTGTCGCCGAAGCTTGTCCAACTCGGTCAGAGCTATCCTATAGATTCTTCCCTTAGGTGTCTTGCTACCTGGGATGATCTCTATGGCATGGACAACCTCCCTGTCTACGACTCTTGTAGGCTCCTCAAATAGATCGGGGTACTTAGCGACGATGGTCTCTATCTCTGGGGGTGTTTTAACAGCCTCCCCTTTGGCAGAGACATAGACTAAGTACATACCTTCCTCCTGGTTCTATTTACAATAATTGTAGAAGGCCGATGCGCACAAACACCCATAAGAGTCTATCAACCTACTAGCTTTACACTTAGCTAGTCTAACGGTCCTCCCATTAGGCAATTCATGCTTCAACACTTTCTTGTCCCAGTCAAGCTGGGGCTTGGCAACCTCGAGGTAGTACATACCTACCAACATGTCACATGGTAAATCGTCGCTCACCAGGAATGATATGATTCAATTCCCCTCCTGGGTAGGAGAAAGTGCAGACCACGTCCTACACGTAGTCCTCCACCAACATGCGCTCTTTGTTGGCCAGAGTAGATGCTACCGCTCTACTCAGGCGTTGCACCCGGTCCTTTAGGCGCAATCTCTCAATGCAGTGGCGACTTATGAAGTTTCGTGTGGAGCCAATGTCTACGAAGGCACCGCACTTACGGTCACCCACACCAACTTCCACAACGAAGTGCTCCCCTCTAGGCCCTCTACTCAATGCCACTCAGGACTCACGAGGGTCCCTTGTCGACCACTCACCTTGAAGGTCCAATAAGGCTTCAGACACATGCAACGTACAGAGTATAGTTTGGTCCGGATGCGTCTGCGGGGTGACTGAGGAGTCAATAGCTTTGACCAACTCTTGAAACGGGGAGGGTACATCACCCGCTTCAACGAGAGTAGAAGCAGCTACAACTTCTACTGGCCCTAAGTGTTTCCCGAGCTGAAGCTCGTAGAGGCCCCAACCTGAGAAGAAGAAAACCCACCCTTAGGAGGGATCTTCTGCGAGACTTCGGGTTCTTGCACTTAAACTGCTGATGGCCATACTCGTCGTAGTTTATACAAGCACCCCGCGACCAACGGTCCCGCCACACTTCCTGATCCAAACCAGCCCTCACCCAAGCAGCTATTTTGTTTGGGTTGGCGACTTGCCCCTGACTCCTCTGTTGACCGCCCTTGCCGCGGCCACCTGCCTTAGTCTTAACTACGGCGGCGAGGTTGCTACCCTCAACACTCTCCTTGCCATCTAACTTTGAAACCTCCACAAGCTCAGAAACATCATCGATCTCAATTTGATTCCCATCGGAATCAACCATCATCAATCGACTACCCTTCTTCTTCCATTCTTGTGGGGTCTTCTTCTTTCTTTCGTCCGTAGCGGGGGTTTGAGCACCACCCAGCATAGCCTCTAAATCTAGGGCCTTCTTGCTGAATGTCTCAAACGTGTGATACTCGAGACAAGCATCGCTAGCTAAGAGGTTTTTGATTTCTGTGGGAAGACATCTCAAGAACATGGTCAATAAGACCTGTGGATTATACTCCACTCCTGGGACGACAATCAACCGCTCTACGGTTGTGGTCAGCTCTCTCACAGACTTGTACTTCCTAGAGTAAAGTTTCAATAGCCCATCAGTGACAATCTGCGCCTGCTGAGGGTTGTGCCATCGAGCCTCCACTAAATCCATAAAGCTTTCAAGGGTATGGGTCTTGGCCCAGTCACCCATGTTTTTGCCGAACCCTTTCGAAGCTACTAATTCATTTATGCATCAGTAATCACCTCCTCCTCTACCAGCGTCCTCTTCGCCCTGACCCACACTGCAACCGTTCTCAACCAAGTGTCGAGTGCCTCGTCCTTCTTATCTCCTGAGAAGGTTGGAGGTGGTTTCAGAGGGGTCTTGGGGTACCAAGGTTGCTGCTGTCCCACTGGTGAGACAGGTGGCGACTGTGGTGTACCTCCAGCCGCTGGACCAGAAGATGAAGAAGCAACAGTCTGAGATAGTGCTGCTGCTGAGGTACCACTTGGTGATGGTCTGGACTGAGCAGCATAGGGGCCTGTCATCGTTGAGAATAGCAGTGATGGCAAAATTGCTGGCCTGATTCCTGGCATGTGCATGGCGTTCAGGATTTGGACCAAGGTGTCCTAGATTGTATCCAGTTTGTTGTCCATGTATGCGTGCATGGACAAGATGCTCGCCTTAAAAATATTTTCAGTATTACTAAGGGTCGAGTCATCTAACCCCTCTAGTGCAGCTTTGTCTGCCTCCCTACCCTCTAGTCTAACACTCCTGTCTCTAATCTCTTTCTCTCTTTTAGTAGTCTGTTTAAGTTCCTCCTCTCGCCTTAAGCGAATCCTTTCTACTTGCTGGAGCTCCATCTGCTCCCGGGTGCGTGGAGGCTGCGAGCTGAACTGCGAGCCCGCCATCTGACTAGTGCCAGCTCCTGACGTACTGGAGATGGACTGTGAACTGGTCACGTTGAGTGGCATGCCCAAACTCTGACCAGTAGAGTTTGCATAAGTGGTTCAAGAGGTAGCCATTGCTACTGCGCTAGCTGCTGCTGCTGCCAACGTCCGTTCAGCCGCTGCTGCTGCCTCTCTCGCAGTCTCTAGATTACGGGCCCTTGCTTCGGCCCTAAGTCTTCTCTCGTCTCCTGGTAGTAAAACCTGGAACACTACGGGTATCCTCCTGGTCCCCCGTCGTGTCTGCCTCCTATCGTCAAATGTATCTTCACCACCCTCAGATTCAGTCATGGGGTAGGCAAACACTGTCTACACTAATGTCCTCTCTGGGACTCACACATATCGTCAAACAGTCAAACAGAGCTGCCTGGTAAACCGTAGGCAGAGAGGGAGAAGAGGACTTTTTTTTTTCTTTTTTTTTGGCACAGCCAGGCAATTGGTCTCGGGCCACTCTGGTAGCGTAGGAAAAATCTGAAAAAAAAAATGATATGGAGAATTTTTCAGAAAATAAACTGAAAACTTTTGCCTCGGGGTCACATCGAAATTCTTTACCAAAATTAACCACAAAAAAAAAAAATAATAATAAATTTGTTTTTTTAACTTTTTTTTAACTTTTTAAAATTTTTTCGTTTTTTTACTGTTTTTTGGCCCGGCCGGGCAACTGGTCCCCGGCCACTCTGGTGACCTAGCTTAGTACGTTGAATATGATGTTTAATGACTTAAGGTTGTAAGTCACCCAAAACAAGGAAGAGAAAAAGGAAACACAACAAGTGGTACATCTGAGTAACCACCTGGAGTTATTAGTTGAGTTGAGGGCAAAAAGGAAAATGGGTAGGTGATTTTGGGATCTCTGGATGGCAGCGCTGTGGCCGCGCAAATTGGGAGAGGTCGGAGCCATCTGTTTCCAAAAAAAAAAAAAAGGATATAATTGTTCTAAATCACAATATTTCTCTGTTTGTGCTTGCCAGTGATAAGCAAACGGACTGACTCCGCCCCGGAATAGAAGACGAGGCAGTGTGTGTACTGATGTAGGGGAAAAAAAAAAAAAAAAAAGGATGAGTGAGTGGTCCCCACTTCCAATGCATCCAAACCTTCTTTGCTGCCATCCCAATATGTAGCTTATCGTCAAGTGAAGCCGCTTCAGCCCGCTGCATATGCGTGCATGGATTCAACCAACACAAGCAGGCAAGCAAGACAACACCATGACCCGTCTGTCAGCAACAACTTTCCCTTCTAAGCACATTCAAGCATGCACGTCTTTAAAAAAACATGCTGCACGTCAGTGTGCGACAACAACTTTCCTTTCCAAGCACATTTATCATACTGCACCTGAACACAGTAATAAGCACGAACTCCTGACAGAAAAATGAGGGGTAGTTTCGCAATTAGCACCCATTTGAGATGCAATGTGGAGGGGATAAATTCCCTGCAATTTAGCGATTCAGCGCTTAAATGCTAGGAAGATTCTCACGCCCAGCCGGTCCTGCCCGGCCGGCCACCCGGG